GGGTAAGACCTTCACTCATCAGCTCAACTTGGGGTACTGGATGAGTCAGCTGGTAGCATTATGAGGCAGGTGGGGCTTGCTCTTGGGGGCTTTAGTTGGGAGAGGCTATTGCCAATTACCTGAGGTCAGAGGCAGTGCCACTGGTTGAGCTCCATGATTGCATGGGCCTGTTGGTTGAGCTCCGCATTCAAGCAGTGCCTCTGGGTTGACTCCCTGATTGGCCGGGGCTGCTGACTGTGCTCCGCAGTCAGGTGAGGCCACTAGCCGGGTTCTGTAATCACTTCTGGTCAGGCAACACCCCTGACAGGGTGGTGCCACTGGCTGGATTCTGCAGTTGGGCAAGGCTATGAGATGGGCTCTGCCATTGCTCCTGGTCAGCGGGTGTCTCAGGACTGTGCTCCTTGACTGGATGCTGCTGCCAGCTGCACTGTGTTCAGCTGGAGCTGCAGGCTGTACTCTGCCACTGCGGGGCCACAGGGTATGCTTAACAGCTGGGCAAGGCTGCTTGCTTAGCTCCCTGAGGAAGCAGGGCTGCAGGGCAGGTGACACAGATGGATATGCTCAGCAGTTATACAGGGATGTACGTTTGCTCTCCTGCCCACGCAGGACAGCAGAACGAGCTTCATGGCTGTTACAGCCCACTGACTGGGGACCCAAATCAGGCAGAACTGTCCACCAAACTCCCTGGACAGATGGGGCCACCAGTTTGGCTCAGAAGATGGGTAGAGCCACTAGCTGGGATCTGTGCTTGGGCACTGCTACAAGCAGACATGCAGTTGGCCATGATCCGAGTGCTGGTTGCTGTAAGCCCCACCCCATCTTCTCCACCTTTATCTGATCTCCAGTGGTTGAGCCCCCAGTTACCTCTGTGAAATGTGGCCCAACCTGGCTTTCTGGGAAGCATCCCTCAAGGCTGGGGGAGCTGGGTGTCCACCTAGGGTTTTCCTTTCCCACCGGGGAAACTATATGCTTGGGAGCCCTCTTGGTGCAGAGCTGTGCCAGTCTGGGGATGGATACTGTGGGCACAACATAGCCGATCCTCTCACCCCTCTAATGTGGTATTTCTTCGTCTCTGTGGTCCAGGAGGGTGCTTTGGCCTCACCCCTGGGGCTGTTGCCTATGTTGTTAGTCAAATGAAATACTACGTATCAGTTAGAAGTTAAAGAAAATAAAGATGCAGTATTTTTCACATCTAAGTTCAGGAGCCCCTGAATTCTCTAAATGGGACCCCAGGTTTCGATGTATCTTTGTAAATTCTTCCACAGCAATTTTCTAACTTCCTTCTATGTTAACAGCTTTTTTTTTGCATAGGTTTTGTGAGTTTGACCATAAACTCCTTACCAACATGAATTTCCTCAGCATTTAAGAACCATTTGCATGCACTAATGTTCTAAAATAGGATACATTTTTATTTTTCCATTAACACTTGAATCACTTTTTTTAAACTGCTAATTTCATTTCTTTGTCAATGTCCTATATGTAAGTGTGCCTACAAATATTTCATTTTTACCACTGATATCTGAAAAACACTTACTGGTCTTAGATTTTCCTCTCAATAGATCAAATTAAATTACACTCTGGCAGATTTTCAAAGCTGAAATAATGACTCCAAGAATCACCTAAATTTAGTACACATTATTTGGCACCAACTCATAATTGCATATATTAAAAGCTCCTCAACAATTTCAGGATACGGTGTACTTTTTAAGCATTTCTATGTGTTCCTGTATGTATTTTAGGACTTTTCAGCTTCTTCCATCTAGTGAACTTGGTTCCTAGCTTATATTTAGGTCTTTTGAAATAAATAAGACATTAGTATTTTTATTAATTACCTTATATTTGGGGCTTGAACTTGCTGACTAAATAAAAGGGGAGGTTTATATGTGTGGGTTTGTTTTGTTTTGTTTTGTTTTTGGTGGGACATTTATCCTGCCAAATAATTAAAATCTATTAACGTCTGGCAGGAAAGAGCCTATTGACCCATACTAGGAGAGATAATACTGGTATTAATTCAAGTCTCTGGGAAGCAATGTGTCCTTAATTGTTTTTTGTTGTTTTTGTTGTTAGGAAAAAACAACTCTGCCACATGAGCAACAAACTATGATTATGCATGGATGGAGTTTAGCACTGTAATCAAATAGAACTTACAACAAAGTTAATCTGATGATACATATTTAATGCCATGCATTATCGATGTGCTACATGGTAATTAGACATAAATGGTAAACAGCTCCTTTGAATGGCAAATTGATGTTACTTTTGCATCACTGAAGCAAACCCTTTCCAGGATGGCGTGGAGAAAGGCACTGGTGATTCTAGTCTTTTCTCTTGCCTGAGGGAAGCAGTCTCCTTTGGGTACTTGAAAAATCAAACAAATGTTTCCACCCAGGACCCCTTCCTCCTTACCAAAAGATACTCAGACATTTGATTTGTCGGGATAAACACCATACTAACTTTAATAAATCCAATGAGTTATTCACCATTAGTGCCTAGGACCTGAGCAGCACAACTCCAGTCATGCATACTATGAAATTACATGGTAAATTGTTTTCTCCTACAAGCAGAATAAAGAACCTGAGTTTTGACTGAGCAGGGTAAAGAACAAGAGGAAATTTCTGAGTATCTGGCATCAAGGAGGAAAGCAAGCCAGCTTGGCAAAAAGGCCTCAGTGGCGTGCCTTCAACAAAAAGCAAGCACAGAATTGGTGGCACAAAGGATGTGAGGGAGAAAACACAGAGATGTGAAAAAGAGAAAGTGATAAAGGCTTGAACAAGAGGGTGAAGGTCTAGAAAAGAGGAGATGAGACAGACCCAGGTTAAGCCATCCCCAGCAAGCAGGAAATGCATGGAAGCATCAGTACCACAGGCACAAAAGGAGCCTGGCAGAAACTACACTTTGTGATTCTTCTTCACTCACCTTCCCAGAGTACAGTCCGAGATTTAGCATAAGAGAGTGATTTCACAAGCAGTCTTTTTGACTGCACAGTGGATAAGATTAAACCATCTGAATTCAAAAATTTAGACATAATTGACTGCCATCTCCAAATTGTAAGCAATTCATTCTTCCCAACTGGACCAGGCAATTTAAAGAGAAATAAATAGGTATCATTTATGCTACACAATGCAGTGAAACAGAAAAAAAAAATCCCAGGTAATGTATTTTTATATATACATTTTTAAAGCTTCTTGCATATCAGAGGGACATTCATAAGTGAGACTCTGTTCCTTACATTCCCTAAAAGAGCTGAAAACATGACTTAAGAAATAAATGTTTTTAATGTTACAAGTAAATAAATACCACAGTAGCATTCTGCATTTATATATTTTTTTCATTTATCAAGGCATGTATACGAAAAGCTACAGTTTTCATGGGTAAAATAAATGCCTACATCGATTAATTCTTCAAAACATGGTTCTCTTTTACTACAACTTGACTGTACAGAAAAGACTAGAAAGCTTCAACTACTGAATAGGAGTCAGAAGTTTGTTTGCCTTATTGTACTTGAAAATTAAACTGTCCGCTTAGAAAAAAAGAGAGAGAACTAAGTCACGTTTAGGCTTCCTGCCTTGCTCATTCTTACTCTTGCACAAAGAATCATGGGACTAAGACAGGACAAAGGTGAGCAGCTCTCTACTTCAACTCAGAGAACTCTGGACTTGCCAGCTGGACAAGGAGAAAACATTTTTCAAGTAACTTTTCCACAAGGGGATTTCTTATCCAAGTGTAACTATTGTTGAAGTTAATACAGGTGTGCCATGCTAATAAAGAACCTCCATAAATTCATTAAACCTTAGTCCTACAGAGAATAAATATATCTATCTTTAAAACATATGCATAAGGTAAAGTGTAACGCAAGCCAACATGCCAGTGGAGGAACTTCAAGACAGACACAGCCTGCCCAAATGACAGACACTGGTTCTCTGAGATTTAGAGGTAGTCTGAGGGGAATATGACACAATTTTTACAGCATAAACTACTCATCTTAAAGTCAAAGCAGGGGAGGGTAGAGCTCAGTGGTAGAGTGCATGCCTAGCATGTACAAGGTGCTGGGTTCAATCCCCAGTACCTCCGTTAAATAAATAAACGAATAATCCTAATTACTTCCCCCTTAACAACAACAAAAAATTAAAATTAAAAAAATCAAAGCAAACTGCACGGCTCAAAACCAAACAACAGCAACCCTGCAACGACTATGCCCATCCATGAGACATCTTTGCAGTTCTTCCTTCCAAAAATTAAACCGGACAGGGCCAAACATGCCAAGAATTCTAATAAGCAGATCTTATATAGCGCTTTATTCTACAAAGTAGTTTATGCGGTTTAATCCTCACAGTGAGCTAGTCATCTCAGCTGAGGAGACAGGGCTTTTGCAAACTGAACCAGCTTGCCTGCAGGAGGCAGAATAATAGGATAGAAAGAGCAATGGTTTTAGAATCATGAGAGATTTCGTTCTGAGTGTCGGCTCTACTACTCTGCCACTGCCAGCCGGATGACATTGGGCAATCTCTCTAAGCCTCAGTTTCCGTATCTGTCAAATGAAGATAATCATACTTATTTCATAGGATTGTTGTAGGATTCAGTGAGATAAAGTACTTGGCACAATCCCCAGCACATGTTAAGTGCCAAACAAAGGATAACTTCACCATTTCCCCACTGATCCTGAGCAAGCCATTTAACCTCTTGGCCGCTACATTTTTACATCCATACAATGGTAATGACAATATCTACTTAACAGAGTCACTGTGGTGATGAAATATATACAATTTTATGCACAGGGAATGAGGTGTCTACATATGCATACACTTCAATTTGAAAGGAAATGGCAGAAACACACCTAGAGCCTAAATCTTCTCTGTTGAGTCCCCTTACTATCCGCAGGGCTAATACTCTTAATTCTATTATCCTAATAAAGAAGAAAATTCTCACATAACTCCATTGAGAAGATAGAAATCTAGAAATATCTGTAAAAATTACATTTAAAAAGAAAGTTTGCCAGTTACCTGAATTAGGGCCTCACTCAACATGTCTTCATTAACTTCCAGAATAATGTTTTTTATGTCTTCATACGGCATACGATATGATCCTAGGAAGATAGCTAAAATAAAAATTGATTTTATTAAAAATAGAATAGTACCACAATTTTAAAGTCCTAATAAATACCTGATTCCCACTTTATAGACTCAAAATGTGAAATTCCTGTCATTTACGTTAATTCACAGATTTATGAACAAACAAAAGTAGTTTCCATTTGATGGACTATGCCACTCATCAAGGCAAAATGGTCTATTATCTCAGGTTCTAATGTGTACAGATCATGCGTATTTATAGTCAAGATAAAAACTACTAACAGCACCGACGACTACATGCTTCTGCGTTTTAGATTGAGCTAATACAAAATAACCCATGAAAAGTTAGAAATTTTATTTCAAGTTGGCCTTTAAATTCAATGGAGAATTTACTGTGGAGACTGTCAGATACATCCAACATGGTACTTTTAGGGAATGACAATAAAGTAACCCAATGCTAAAGAAAAAATCGTATCAATCTACTTTGCAGTTCTCCCACACGAGAGAAAATTGAAGTGTCTGAATCATCAGTGTTCCCTGCATCCCTGCTGACATTCAAGAGGTATGCCATTAGCTGCTTTTATGTTGAATCATGATGTCCCTAGACAACCTTTTCTTAATTGGGTATATATTATGTCATATTGGAATAATTCAACAAATTATTTCTAGAAAAAATTATACTTACTTAGAAAGCATTGTTCAACAATACGTTCCACTTTAACCTCCACTAAACATACTTGTGAAAGAACATTCGTGTGTTCTTATCACCAGAACATGAATATGTTCCTAAGAATTTTTCTGCATGGAAAAGTCTATATGACCTCACTGGTACCTAAAGAAAACAACATCCTCCTTGTCTAGGCAAATTATTATCTAGACATAAACACCAAATGAGATCACCATAAAACCAAATAATGTTGATGGATATCAACTAGCAATTAATTACTGTTTTGTTTTTTTTTTTTAAGTACTGAACATCCATGTTATAAAGAAAACGGACTGTCAGGTAAGCGATGCACACATGTAAAACAGCTATCAGGAGACTGCTTTTCTGACAACAACATTCCTCCTGACAGGAAAATGATGAGTTATTTATTTTCATCTGATCTCTATATAGCCCATTCCTTCACAAAATAAACTCCCATGGTATTTCTTTGCATAATTAGAAATGCTTGATGTGTTGAAATTTCTCATGCATGGTGTTTTAGTATCCTCAGAATATAAACACAGTGTATTGTGGTGACAAAAAAAAAAATACTGAATTCAATACAGAGGGAAGACTGCGTTAGAAAATATGAGGCCTGAGCTAATGAAGATGAGTTGAATTGCCCAGCTGCGTTAGCAAGAGCACACTGAATGGCTGACTGGTTCGTTAAAGGCTTTAAGGTTCACTAACTGGTTTTCAAGTGCAGTGGTTAACAATTTAACTAACTCACATCACAATTTCTTCAGTTATAAAGGAACAGGAGTACAAGGATTTACCCAATGTGACTAGTGAGTACTCCAAAATTATCACTCCTGGGCCTAGGCAGATGGAAAAAAAAGTAACACTTTTCAACTCTGCCTTCCCTCTCACCGTGTCCTCTAACAATGCTTAATTACCAGTACTGTCCAAAACTTTCTTATTTATAAGTTTCACCTGGCCTGGCCAAGGCTAAATTATGGTGGCCTCCATTCTGGCTGAATGACAAAAAGGCAGCCCAAATCAGGTTTACACAGAATTTTGTTTGTAGGAGATGCTAAATATACCCATTCAAAGAAGTTACAACTTTGTTTAAATACATCCAACAGCCCCCCTCGCCACCACCATCAGCACCACTCCCTACACAGAAAACATCACATACACAGATTCTGGGCTGTTTTGGGATCCAAAATTCTCAACTCTTTCACCTTCTTCTTTGCAGGTAGGGTCTTCTTCTCTTCTAAAGCTTCTGCATTCTTTGGAACTGAAAGAAAAATGTTGATTCATAAACAATTAACAGTGTTAATCCAAATACACGGGACAACATTTGTAAGGCATAGTAACTACATGAATAAAGCTCATGCTAAAATCAATAAATGGGTTTCTTTCATTAGTTCAAGGAAGAGGATAAACATAAAAATATAGACCTGTTTAGAGGTTTCCCTACAAATTAAATATCAGCACTTAAGCAGAAAAGATAAGCCAAATAGGACCAAAAATCAATCGCTGCTTCTTACCTAATGCGCAGCATTAATTACTCCTTTACTAGGTTCCTACTAGTAGGCAGCACTGGAATTAAATATATAGTAAAATCTCCCTAATTTGGACTAATTGAGGAAAAAGGCAGACATGCATTTATCTTAAAATATGCTAAAATGTAGGCAGGTCTTTAATTAAGTGAAATTGCTTTAAAGATATCTAAGGTAACTTGAACTGCTAAACAGGTTACGATAAAAACCCCACTGAGACAGCTCTGAAGAACAGAGATGAACCATTTGCAAGTTATACGACAGTAGCACCTATTTGGATACCAATAATTAACAAACCTCAAAGACATGGTGTCTTTTGAGTCAGTTCCCTTTGTCTGCTCACCATTTCTTAATGCCACGTGCTTTCTTCGAACAAAAGATTTATTTTCGCTGTATTTAGAAGGGAACCTTCTAGTTCGTAACAGTTAAAATGTCCTGAAAGTGTGAGGAGTGGCAGTGCCAAGGAGTGGCTTTAGGCGCCCCCCATCACCTCCATCAGCCCTCCCCTAAACCGAAGTGAAAAACAATGTGCTAGCTGTTATGAAAACGAAGCTTTATGTCAAATCCCTAAACAACTCCTACATAGAAATTCTACAGCTACCATTGTATTTACGTGTTGGCAGTTCAGCTCCTGTAATATTAAAAACTGGGTTGTAGGTAATGAGACCATGAAACAATATAAGAAAAGTAAAGCCAACTTTTTTTTTTTTAAGTCAAGTAGAGTGATATGCTCTTGTCCCCAGACTCTAGCTGCTAAACTTCATTACCACATCCTATGGCTATAATCCTGTTTCTTTATGACTTTTAAAAATACACCTTCATTCTGAGGCAATCATTATTTTTATCCATTTAATTTATCTGTTCCTTGTTAAGGAGATCACAAATGAGTTACTGATTTTCTTTAGGGGAAAAGTAACCCATGAACACAGTACTTTTTTTTTGCTAAGGTATATATACACAGTTGTGAGCATCTGGAAAACTTTCTAGAATTGAGTAATGGCTATTACTGCCTTTGGCTTTCTTGTCTTTCAAATCATTCCCTAGCAATCATAACCACAGACTTAGCTAAACAGAGAATTTGAAGAGAGGCAATGATATATGAAATTTATCTAGATAGTATTGAAGCTTTCATATATTAAAAAATTATTGTTTTCATGACTACAAAATGCCACTTGTCCTAAAATGTTTTTATTCCATATGTTTCTAATGCTTACAAAATGTAAATATTCCATAACTTAATTCCATAATTCGATTCAAACTTGAATAGATATTTCTCCAAAAAAGACGTACAGATAGCCAGCAGGTTTATGAAAAGATGCTTAGCATCACTAATCATCAGGGAAATGCAAATCAAAACCACAATGAGGTATCATCTCACATCTGTTAAAATGGTTATTATCAAAAACACAAAACATAAGTGTTGGTGAGGATGTAGAGAAATTGGAATCTCTGTATACTGTTGATAGGAATGTAAAATGGTATAGCCACTATGAAAACAGTATGGAGATTTCTCAAATAATTAAAATAGAACTACCATTCCATCCAGCAATCCCAGTTCTGGGTATATATCCAAAAAAATTGAAATTCAAATCTTGAAAAGATATCTGCATTCTCATGTTTATTGCAGCACTATTCACAATAGCCAAGATATGGAAACAATCCAAATGTCCATCAAAGTATGAACGAATAAAGGAAGTGTGGTATATACATACAATGGAATATTATTTAGCTTCAAAAAAGAAGGAAATCCTGCCATATGCAACAACATGGATGAACCTGAAGGACACTATGCTAAGTGAAATAAGTGAGTCACAAAAAGACAAACACTGCATGACTACACTTATGCGAGGCATCTAAAATGTCACACTCATACAAAGTGTAGAACGGTGGTTGCCAGCAGCTGGAGAGAGGTGGAAATGGGGAGTTGCTGTTCAAGGGGTTATACAAGTTGAATTAGTTCTAGAGATCTGTGGTACAACATTGTGCTAACAGTTAACAATACTGTATTGGGCACTTAGAAATTTGTTAAGAAGGCAGATCTCATGTTAAATGTGCTTATAACAATAAAAATATAAAACTAAATTAATTTTAAAACTTAAATTATAGTGATTCTATCATTATTTGAAATTACTTGAATGGGACTAAAGAGTTGTGTTTTTTTTAAGTCTCAGTCCAAAAACTTCAAAAATTGATTTTATCATCAATGGCTCTATGATCCTCCGGTTCATAATGAGGCCCCCAGTCACACGTGATCTCTCTCTGTGCAAATGAAAACCCATATAGCCACTGGATTTGAATCCAATGGATTCAATTAATTTGAGTGCTTAAATTGGCACTGCTAATTGACCAAATAATAATGAAACATTATAAAATACTGACTGTAGGAAGATAATGATGTAATAGTAAAGTCATTTGTATTATTATTAAAGATTATCCAGATACTAATTATCTAAGATAAAATGCCCGCTGAGTATACTTATATTTCTTTTAATACATGGATTTTTACATACAAGTGTACTATAAATGTATTCCTTTACAACTGAGGGACGTTCATCAGCACAAGTAGAGTAAACACGGTTATATTCTTTCCCCAATCTAATTTAGGCAATGTTCAGGAGTCCCCTATTAATTTCTGCTATCCCAGTGGATACACAGAACGTGTGACAAGGTGTTTGTACTTTGTAGCAAATACTAAGATATTATAAATGGGTAACATTGAATAATTTACACAGTGATAACTGACCATAAATCATAACAACATTTTTATAACTAATTTATCTCAAGATTCCTGTAAGAAAGATTGATTCCTAGAATTGGCATCGATACTATTCATTCATTTATTCACTCATTCATCCAGCAAATACTTGTTCAACTTGTTACATATTAGAGAACACTGTTGTCTTTAAATCAGCCTCAACTGATGTATTACATATTAAAAGGAATATATGGACAAGTAAAATGTGACACTTTCTATTAAGTGCACTATATACAAAGCCAGGGTAAATAAGGCTATTAATAGTAGTGTTAAAAAGCATGTTGAAAATTCATGTAGCTACATGCACACATATATATATGTATATTCAACAAGTAATGCCCAACTGTTATTTTAGATATATCATAGAAATAAAAGAATTGTGATCTCTGTACATGCATACACATTTTACCCATATGTATACTAATTCCAGAAGTGATTTTAACTATGTGGAAATAATTTTCTTATATCAGTTGAAATAGATTTTATTTTAAGTTTAATCAATGATTTGATGTTAAAAGGAATGCAAGTGTGATAATGGCAGGCAGGCAAAATCTACTATGATTTTGGTGTGATAGCTGCAATGATTTTTCTGTTTAATTATTACCATCTACACTTTCTTTAAATCATCTTTATCCTTGCATTTCTGGAAATGTTATACAAACATAGTTGAAAAATGGACAAAGGATTATTATATATGTATATACATATAGAAACACACATATATACACCACCTTAAAACAAACATTTAATGTGCCAAATATATTTAAGGTGTGCTCACCGTAAGTATAACCCAATCCTTCCACTTACAGGTCAAATGGTCAAGGAGACAACGTTCACAGGAGCCATGCTTGTAACAGTACAAAAACTGGAAACAACTCACATACCAGGGATTACAGGATGGGTAAATAAATTGTGGTATATTAATATAATGAAATACAACCCAGCATTTATAGTGACTATACTACAGCTAAACATTTCAACAAGAATAGATCCCAAATATTAGTGCTAAATGGAAAAATAAAAGTGGTGAAGAATGGTGCAGTTTAACAGTGCTCATCTAAATTAAAAATAAAATACAGACTAATCTTACGTATTGTTGACAAATGAGTGTGTATATATATATAGCGAAATTATAAAAACACAGGATAGATACTCAGCAGATTAATGATGATGCTTCTCTTGGGAGAGGAAAGTAATACTGGAATAAGTAGAACCCTGGAAACCTCAACTTTATCTCTCATATTTTTATTTCTTTGGAAGCAAAAATCTGTAGTAAATACGACTAAATGTTAGCATTTGTTCCTCCTGGGAGGCTGCTCCATGTTTGCCATATCAGCCTGTGAAAAGTTCCATTTTTTTTTTCCAGCATAAAAAAAAAGAATGTGATTAGATTGCTACTTATATAGATATACCCATTCCTTTTGACAGTTGATAAAACTGTTAGCCATGACAATCCCAACGACCAAGTGTAAACAGGAAGCAGAAACAATAAGGAAGAAGATTAAAAAAAAATACAGGTACAGATGAGTCAGTCTGGGAAGCAATCACGATTTTTGCTTTCAATTGTTTTTGCATCCATTTCCGGAGGAATAACACATTTGTTCACCGAACCTTGGGAGGAAAGGCTGATGCAATATGCAGTAAGAGATTGCATTTCCGTCTCCTCTCACAAGGCGCGTGCTGCAGCTGTGAAGCAGCCCCTCTCTGTGTCGTCTACAGCTGTGCACTAACTAAGGCATCCCACAGGAAGGTAGATTTCATTCCGACACCTGCATAGTACCTGAAGCCATAGGAATGGCATTACTAGGAGTGTTCCTGAAGTTTAGAGCACATTAAACAAGACTAATGGTTGTAATGGTGGGAATCACACACACATACTTTGTAATGATTTCCTAATTAAAGAACAAATCTTACTGGTTGTAGTTTCGACAAGAACCCCCCAAATCAGGCAGCACATGTTACTGCAAATTAACATCTGCA